TGCTCGCATCAGCACCGGGCCCCAGCCCCGCGCCGAGGCAGCCTCCGCCGAGCTGCTCTGCACATGCTCAGACCGTCTCTCCAGTCCCCTGGGCGCCCGCGCGGCTCCGGGTTTTAGTCGCGGCCCCAGGGTGGGGTGGGGCGCGGGCACCGGTGGGCGGGGCCTGGGTGGAGGACCGGCCTGGGGTGCGAGGCCTCAAAGGGGCGGGGCCTCTGCTCCGCCCAGGCTACCTAATCCCAGGTGCCTGATTGGACCTTGACGGAACTTTCCCGCCAGAGGCACGTTCTCCCGCCCCGGGGAGGAGGGCGCAGTGCGAGCCTCCCCGAGCCGGGGGCGGGGTCCCAAAGAATCCGCTGCTGCAGGTGCGAGCCCTTAGAGGCGTGCACTTCGCGCCCTCTGGTTTGCTACCTTCCAAAAACACTGTTAGGCTTAGCGACATGATCTGCTAGCCACAAGATAATGAAACCCGTAGAAAATCAAAAGGCAAGGGAATGCTACCCTAAGAACCAAAAGGTAAATACAGGGAAGAGAAAGGGTGGATACAGAAGCAAAATCCACTAACGGGTGGATACAGAAGCAAAATCCACTAATGGGTGGATACAGAAGAAAAATGGTGGGAGAGGGGAGGCCGAGAAGAAAGAAGAGATCCCCCTCACTAGGAGAGGGAGAGTGGCCAACTGCTAAAGAGACAAATGTTCACTTCAGTTTATTCAAAAATAGCCTAATTTGAACTATTCTATTACCACCAATGTTTGCCCCGATAAAACGATGGTTTTTCCATACCATATATAGTCATATATTCATTAAACAAAAAAAGCACCCACTCTGCGCCTGACACCTTTGTAAGACTTGGCCATGCAAGCAGTGAGTAAAACAGATGAAAGTCATTATGCGAGACACTGAGTAAAATTGGGTAGCGCTCCACCTGTTCGGTAATTTACAAGCTATTAAGGTCAGACTTGCTGGGGGACAAAAGAACAACATGAAACCTCAGAACTCTACCCCTAACTCACCTGTTTCTTACATCTTGTGGAAAACATCCGCAAACCTGCTTTTAGATGAGGAAGGAGAGGCTTTAAACGCAGGAGAATTGACTCCAGTTTTCTTCAATTACTGTTGACTTAGCATTTTAAACGTCTAATACAATCAGACAGAAGTCATAGATTTTATTCTGAGAAAAGTCCACACAACTGGTCCTCATCCTCTGATATCTTGTGAAGGGCTGACTCAGGGACTTTACACACCGATCTGTGTGACAATGTACCACATGGCTCTGGAACACAAACACATGTATCAGTTGGTCTTAGATGTGGCTCTGTGCCTACCTGCTCAGAAACACTTGTGTCTTCTCGGTAGTCAAACTTTGTCTCTAGCTTCTGTGTGAAGTGGGTGTTCTGTACTTAGCTTGCTTAGTGAGAGCTTCAATAAATTAGATAAATGTGTGTGTATAATTACCCGGAACCTTCCTTCCAGCTGGCTACACCACCACCAAACCACCTGTATCACCCATCACCTTTCCAAGTTTCAGTTTATCTTCTGGATATTGTGGTTCTTACTAAAACCTGGAGAAGTGGAGTAAGACTACTGAAAAGTCCTAAGTAAAGAATCTATTGAAGGATTTTTTTCCGCATGCTCAGTGGCAGATGCGGGTAGCAGTATCCCTGCAACACAAAGAAAGGGAGACGACAGACACAATGAGAACAAAGAGCTGCTGAGTTCCACATTAGAAAGGAAATTGGGAATAGGCACAGGCTAGTGAAGACAACAAGAATTAACATGTCAAGAAAAGCAGTCACTCTAGTGCAAAAGGTATACACTCTAGAGGAGAGGAATAAACAGCCGGGTCCTCCCCCATGCACCCCATATGGCCTATAGAATACATCCAAACAACCAGTAGTCAAGCTTTAGAACTGTGTTTTCTAAGTAACACTCATTATAAAAGTCTTTGTTTCTTAAAAAGAATGCATTCATTGAAATTTAGACCTAAAAGAGAGATTAAAACATTCTGGCCTAAATTTCTATTCTGCAAATAGAAATGTGCCCTCTTCCTGTTTTAAAAGTGTGAAGTGATTTGTGTCTAGAGAAATTTTAAATCATTTCTTTCCTTCCTCTTTTTACCCCTTCTGTGAATTACACATGTAGACACACCAGAGGCACGAAAAATGCATACTGGTTTTAAGTTGGTATCCCCAGGATGCCAGTATCTTTAACATGTACATAATTAAAAGAGGTTGATGGTGTCAAGGTTTTAATTAAGCAGACTTGATTTTTTTTTATTTTGATGCAAATGTGTAGGCTTTGTGTTTTGAAAGAAATTTCACACATAGTTGCTCGATTTTAATTTTTTCCATTTTAAATGAAATGCACAAGGTGATTTCAGAGGTTTACAAAGAAGATATGAAAAATATCTACGTCTCATTAAAAACGTTATGCTTTACAGATATGTTTGAAACACCATAAGCTGATGAGAAACATCCATATGCCACGTGTTCTTTTAAGAGAGAAAGTAAACTTATTTTGACTTGTAGTTTTCTCTAATGATCTATGGACATCCAATTGATGCAGCCACAGAATTGCAAAAGAGCATAGTTTCTTCTTGAATTTGTAAATTGAATTCTCCAAGGAAACCTAGGAACAGCTCATTATTTATTATCCCTGTTTTATAGATGACCTAAGAAGGTGAGGGTTACTTTCCCAAGTTAAATCATGAAAATGACAATCCACAGCAGTTTCTAGTGGTCCAACCACTCCTTTCCTTATATCATCGTCTTAGAGTTCAGTTCCTCTCAGAGTAAGTGCCATGTTTGAAATGTGCATTTTCAATCAGTGCAGTGGACACACCTTAATATGAGCATCACTTTCATTCAAGTTGATAGATCCAGTTACTGCAAGAGAGAGTCACTGAATGTGTTAAACTGAGATCAAAGGTCCCTGACTGTGTTTTCCTGTGGATTCAGCCCAGACTACAGTGTTTGCTTTTTTTTTTTTTTTTGGCATCTTAATGGACATTCCTGTTTATCCACACATAATAGACTTGAATACTGTGACATCCCACTGCCATTGTGCAGTGCCTAGCACAGTGTTTAGCACATAACAAAGTAACATTGAAATAGGTTTTTGAAGAAGAGATGAATATGTAAACAACTCTCCAAGTTCTAGTTGAAATTTAGACAAGAACCTAATTATTTCCATAAAACTCATTTAGCAAATGGTAACAACACAGGAGGATCAAAAGGCTTTTTACAGACCCCATAATAATCAATTATTTCTCATCTCACCCAGTTAAAAGGTAGAAAAACACATGCATCTACTAGTAATTAGTGCATTTTCATGTAAGGGGATGATGCAGAGAGAAAACAAAAGAAAACATGACGCCAGAATTTGTGTAAATACAGGCATTCCTCATTTTATGTGCTTTGCTTTATTGCACTCCACAGATGTTGCTTTTTTTCTTTTCTTTTCTTTTCTTTTTTTTTTTTTTTTAACTGAAAGCAAGGTTACATGTCACTTCATTGTTGTGGCCTGGAACTGAACACACAATCGATATCTCTGGGGTAAGGCTCTAGTCCTCCTCTGTTCTGACCCCACCCAACTCTACTACTCTACTACCCATGTAATTATATCCTATAAAGTCACATGCAGTAGTAGTTATAATAATAATAGTAATAATAACAATTCTGTTTATTTGGCAAGCTATACTTGTCGGAGCCCTTTATAATAAACAGTTATTACATGTCTATTACATTCAAGTCACAATGCTAGATGGTATTTTAATAGTGAGTAAAACAGTGTCTCTGCCACCAAGACCTTATCTGGTTGGAGAAAAAGAGCATATGAGAAACTAACTATAGTCCAAGACTTAGTGTGATAAGGATCATGATGAAAACAACAGGGAGCAGACTGACAGCTGTCAGAGGGGAGGGCGGTGGGGGGGTGTCATTTATCCATCACTCAGGGTCTGCTGGTCAGCCCTGGCAGATCTCCCTCTCCCTTCCACTCTGAAAATAAATTTTATGATGCCTAAAATTGTTCAAGAGGAACCCCACATACAGCAGCATGGTGATTGCCAGAGGAGGAAGAGGCCACAGGGGAGATAAAGAGTGGTGGAAAGAGACTTGACTTTGGGTGGTGAGCGCATGATGAAGTATATAGATGATGTGTTATGGAATTGTACACTTGAAACCTGTGTGGTCTTATTAACCTATGTCACCCCAATACATTCAATGTTTTGAAAAAGATAATTAAAAAGGAAAATACAAGTTAATGGCATCAGAAATGCCCAAGAAGGAACAATTAACTTGGGGAAGACTTCATGTAGAAATCATACGTTATTTCACCTGGATCTCTTTATCCTGCTGCAAGCCTTTGGAGCAAGTGTGGTAGTCACCATTAGATAGGTTACAGAATATACTAAAGCAAGGATAGAACTAGGATATAGCACCCAATTCTAATTCCTAGCTAGTATT